GGGGCGGGGGGGGCCCGGACCGGACCAAGTTTACTGTACGCCGCGGCAGACGCTGTAAGAGCCTCTGCGGTCCTCGCACTTCACCGTTGCCCGATACTCAAGTAAGGTTCCCGGGCGGGCCCCGAAGGCTGGTCGGGCCCCTTACATGGATATCGGCCGTACCCCCCTGATGGCGGCCCTGCTTGCACTGAAGCTGCCAGGAATTCTGACTGCATTAGGTTAGCACAAGACCCATCATTTTACAGCTGCATGTAGTGTTTATAAATGTAATTGTATAAACATAGGCAGATGGAGAGTAAACAACAGCAGCAAATCAAGATCACCCAATTAAAACATTCCACAATCAGACCAAAAAGTGTACTTTATAGAGAAAAGTTGACAGAAGGGTAGATAGTAGAATATTCTCTAATTTAATCTTTGAAACTAGGTTTCTTATTCATTTTTACTGTATTGTTACTGACTGCAACAAGTTTCTACATTTTACAGAAATGCTCCTGCTGTGCTAAATGATCTCTTCTGTAACACAAAAGTTTATGCAAGAACGCAAAAACAGATGTGTCGTACAGTGACACCTGGTGTTGAACTGCAGTTCTTTACACCCAATTCTGCTGCTATAGAAGGGCTTGTAGTTCTTATTTTCTTATTAATTAATTTGTGCTTTGTCTCCTCCAGATAGAAATTGGAACGGTTTTGCCTGTTGTAAATAGACCAATTCTTTCTCCTGAGCCAGTTCAAGAAGAAACTGAAGATGAAGAAGAATCAACACCAAAATTAATTGATGGATCTTCACCACAGGGACCCTTGTCTCCTGGAGTCCAAACTCCAGAAGCAAGTGGAGGTTTGTGCCACTAGTGTTCAGTTAAAGCAGCAGTAGGCTGATTACATTTAGCATTGTGATTTAGAAGAATTTGCACTTTAGGGCATATATTCCATGCTGTCTAGTTTTCATTTATTTTGTCATAAGTCTGTATATTATTTTAAAATAATGTCAAGTTATAATTATTCTGATTTCAGATAGTTTGCATTAGTTTTATTTAGAACCCAATTACCATTTATACCTACAATTAAAAATGTAAACTGCTGAAAAAATATTATATAGCTGTTTAAAGGAGAACTAAATTGTCATCACAATTGCATAATATCCGTGTAACAGTGTGTGCCTGCTCCTGGGTAACACTGTGGCGCAATGCAGTCAGTAAGCCGATGAACTTATAGAGGCAGGAGTCCAAAAGTCCTTAGCAGGGAAGTTTATTGTACTCAGTTAGTGGCAGCTTTTTCACAAACAGCACTGAGTCTTCTCAAGCCAGCAAGTAACAAAAATACATAAACAAAAAGCCTATCTCTGTCAGAGATCTATCTACACATAGAAAACAGTTTTACCCTCACTAAATAAAGATGCCAAGCTAAGCCTTTAAACACCTGCCAAACAAACAGAACGTTTTCTCAGGTCCTCTAGTGCAGCAGCCTGGGAGGTCTGTGTTTCACAGTCTCTCTCTTGCCAGTGACCTGTTAGCTGCATCTCCTTTTAAAACCTTCTGTCCACACCCTGTTTAGGTGGGTTAACCCATTTTGTAACTGACTGCCTGTTTCAACCTATTGCTAACATAGTAGCCAGCAATTACCTCACCCCGTGGCCAGTACAATCTGTCACAATCCGGTTATAGCCATGTGTTACTTTCTCCTGTTTCTGGCTTCTTAACTAGTTATCATTGCTGAATTTGAGTGGGTGTTTCTTTCCATGAAATTACATTGTCTTTTGCAATTAATTACATTGTATTGACCAGCATGGTCCAGATTTATACACAAACCATGGTGTCACAAGCATGCCAAACATTTAACCCCAAAAGAACCCCAAAAAGGGTTTAGTACACCAGACATGTGTACTGGTATGTTTATGTCTGAAGGCCTGTGAGCCTCAGCTTTTCATTAATATGGCAAAGTTTTCACATTGCCATATTAAATCGGTTCAGTGAATAAGTAGAAACTATTATGTTTTTCAAGTTATCCACAAAATACCAATCGGCATAAGATTAGTGTTTGCATCCCTGTATCTATAAGTATCATGGAAAAATTGTCATTAAAATAGTCCAGATGGCTTTCTGGGGTCCAGGGCTACTAGGATGCTCATACTTCCCATACCTACTCATTATGAGAACTTGGTCTAAGTATAGGTTTTTTATTGAGTACTCCACCACAATGACATGATGTACAGGCAGTGGGGCTGGCCGATTCTCCCTTAGTTTCCTGATGAAAAGGAGTGCAATGGTGGAAAGTGAGGTTTAACATGACCAAGAATTTTAGAAATCAGGTATCTGTAGATCTTAAAAGGCAGTCAGAAGATGCAGTCACAGGCTGCTCCAAGCCCTATTTATTCCTACTACCAGGAAATGTAGATGATGGAAACTTCCTCATCTCAGCCACAATCCTTACAGGCATCAAACAAAGGGATACCTCAAACCATGTGGCCCACTGTTATGTACAAAATTAAATTAAGCTCTACTTTGAGCAACATACATCAGGGGAAGGATTCTTGATGGATGTTAGTGGCTGCCCTATTTACGAAAAATAAATAATAATGAGCCATGTGGAATGTAGTGTCTTAATTGTTGGATAGCTGAACAATATTTTGTGCTTATAGGAGAACTATGGGGTCAGCGTTTTTCCCCATAGTTCTCCTTAGGGTAACGGGAGGACACAAACTAGCGTCCTCCCGTTACCCTAAGCTCAGTATACCGCGAGCTACAGCTCGCGGTATACTGAGACGCCGGAGCGGATCCCGACGTAGATGACGGGATCCGCCCAGCTGCGTGAGTGACAGCTGGCTCTGCCTATCTAGAGGCAGAGCCAGCTGTACCCGCCCCCTCCCCCGTCCGTTCCGCCAGTCAGCGCTGGCAGATCGGAGCGGGGAGAGGGGAATCCAGCCCCTCCCCCTGTCACGGCAGAGAGCCGTGACAGGATCGAGAGGTGAGCGAACCCGGTATGTGTTCGCTCACCTCCCGATCTACTGAGCCGACCTGTGACAGTCTCATTGTCACAGGTCGGCTAGAACTATGAGGTGAGTGAAAAGCACTCACCTCATAGTTCTCCTTTAACTATACACAATCACCAACCTAATCTCCAGGAAATAATAATGACTGTCTAAGAAAGTCAGTTCCAAATATTCTTTCCCCAAGGTCAGCCCATGGGTGTCTAAAGCGGTCAGGAGGAGGTTATAGACATATAATTATTTTGTGATTCATTTATAGTCAACCATATTGGATAAAACGCCTCTAGTGTCTAAAAGTACCTTCAGTATTTGAGATCTAGATAGTATCTGATCTGGATTAATCTGTTGGAGGTTGGGAATGTTTGAATCATGGCAGCATGGTAATATTGTCAACACAGCATCTCTGACAAGTCTTTAGCATAAAGCACTTCAGTCAACCTGACAAAGATAGAACATGATTTGGATAAAAATAGTAATGAATATGTCTCTAGTAACATTATACTGCTGAAATTATGTTTTTTATTTTTTGTTACTCTCTGTTTTAGGTATATCTACTTGTATCCTGTGTGGATGCATTCGTACCACCGTCTACTGTGATGATCACAACCTTGATGTAGTACCTCCTTTACCCAAGGACACTACACACGTTTACTTACGTTTTAACAAAATAAACAAGATAAACAAAAACGATTTCTCATATCTAAGTATGCACCATTTTTTTTTATATTTATTTTTTTGCCATCGAATATAGCAGTACAATATATCCTAAACTTAACAGGCTATATGTTCTCTTAATATGGTGTTCTTTTTAAGATGTTATCATTTGTAGGGGGTTTATGATACTGTTGTATTTGTATCTGCCAATTACTTCTGATCATGGCCTACAGTATGTTTGATTGTCTATGAAGGTTCTGATTCATCCAGGTCATGGTACAGCTAAAAGTGGTTAGTCATCTTTGACTGGGATTGGTCTGTAATATTGATAGTGTTTAACATCATACTTAAGGAGCTTTTCCAGTTCTAAAGAGTGTCATGGACATACCTCAGCATTTATATCCACACAGATAACATGGGAACAATCCTCCATAAACAGCCTTCAACAACATCTTTTATATGCATGTAATGCAACTTGACAATAATGCACACATAAAGCCATGTAACACTTGCTGCGGCCTTGTCACCCAAAGGGAAGGGATAATGTAATTAGAACAGGGTGGTTCCACAAACTTCACACCTCCCATCTAGTTCTTGAACAATCAACAATCAACATTTGCCATGATACTTCCTTACACTGATTAGAACTGAAAAATAAGCTTGGATAAATGGCAAACTGAAATTGCTGTACAAATAGTGACTGGTAATTTTGTTGTACCCAGAGAGAGAAGAAGCAGAGTATGATTTTTGAGAGTGTCTATGCCACCCCACTGAATATGCCAAATGAAACAAGAGCAACTTAACTAGGGTCATAACAATGTGTAATGAAACCTCATAGCAAAACCATTACTCCAATACTTATTTATTGTATAGCCAAGGTATAGATGCTCCCACATTTTATATACATGTATTTAATTTAAATATATTTGGTTATATATACTGCCAGGCAGTTGTTTTCTTAAACAACTGCCAGCTGTGATGTCACCACTGCCTCTGCCCAGTTGTTGTCATTCAATGACAGCCCTGCATCCTCAAGGACACTGGGCTGTCATTAAATGAAAACAACTGGACGGAGCCGACCATGATGTCACGGCGGACTCCACTCATTTGTTTTGATTTGTCTGGGCCCTGCGGGAAGACAGTGACAGGTACTGGACAAATGTAAACAGTTGGACGGAGCTAGCGGTGATGTCACTGCTAACTCCTCCCCAATTGGTTATATTTTGCCGGCATCTGTCAGAATGTCATTTTGTGGCGAGAGTTCGTCACATACGGACGGGTCGGTGGGGTTGGGTTTTTTATTTTGAGGAGTCATCGTGGACAACGCTGGATGTCGTGATTGACCTTGGACTACATGGTTGGATCAATTTTTGGGAATTTTTTTTAATAAAGGACTTGTCAAAAACTTTTATGGTGTTTTTATTTCAATTAAAGGAATTTTTACAAAAGTGTGGGCTCTTTATTTACATTTTTAGCTTAACCCTTTAGTGAATGAGTAGGGGTACAAGTACCACTTACTCATTCACAAGGGGGGGGGGGCTGCATCTGGGTGCCCCTTTATTAAAGGGGTACCCCGATGCAAATAAGCCCCCCTGCCCACAGACCCCCACAACCAATGTCACATGGCTTATAGGGAAGAGGCCCATCGGCACGGGGACAAGGTGCTTTTCCAGATGTTAGATCGGCTGAGCACTTCACTTTGGCTCGGTTATCCACTCGGCTGTCTTTGGCAGCTTAGTGGATAAACCCCTAAATGTTTGTGACAAGTAGAAGGAGTAGATCAATGGCTTCATCAGCATTATGCTGCTCCTACATTGTTGAGTCACAGGCTGGGGCATATAATTGAGCAGGCTGTACTGGTCAATTGCAGTGTAGTCTAAATCATGTTGAACAGAATTAAAAACCCAGTTTGCAAGTAAGACAGTTCAAATATATGTAGTTCAACTGTGTATTATCTGTTTCCCTGGAGTTCAGTTGTAATGCTGAACTCAATTGCAAGGGTTACATGTTTGTTTAGTCAAAGGGGGTAAAGAATATGGTGAAATACTACATCCCTCGCTCCCATTGGCTTTGTACTCTACACAGCCAGTCCCCTGACTACTCTCTGCACAACCAGTCCCCTGAAGCCACTACTCTTCTCTGCTTGACTGGTCACAGCTCTCCAACCTCCTGCATTGTGTGGGAGGACACCATGCACCCATCCTCATCCAGGGAGGGTTAGAGATGGCTGACTGCCAGGAGAGAGTGGAATAATGGTGCTTATTTCTATCCACCTGTTTTGGACCTGCTCACAAATTTGGATCGGATCAAAGGTTCCGTACTTATATCTGCCGCCTGGCCTGATTATTTATAGAGTGCACACTCAGAGAAGAAAGGGACGCTGAGACCAGTTGTTCAGAGTAAGATACTTCTGCTTTTATTCTTCCGCCTAACAGCCTTTTATAGGCAGCTGCACGTGGTGTATGTTTTGTATGTTTAATCGTAGCATTGCAAAAGCATTCTAGCTTATAATTGGTTAGATCCATTCATGCATAACTTCCTTCCAGGATGTTTATGACTTTCGTCTTTCGTGTTGTCCTGAAGAGGAGGCGCCATCTTGGTTTCTATTTCCAGTGCGGATATAAGGGGGAGGGGGTTGTTGCTTAAGCAGCTATTTTGAGTAAGGAAAACGAGCAATAGCAAAATAACATTTATATTACAATTGATCTATTGAGATAGGCATTTTGTCATAATCGTACTTAACCACTTCCATTACACATCTACACAAAACAAGCATTGAACCACTGCAGCTTGAGATGTGGGGCATTGCAAAGTTACATTTTACACTAACCTAGAGTTGAGCTATAATGTTGCCTAAATGCTTCCTCCAAACTATCCTGATATTATCCTAATATAAATATAAATGTTCCATTAGTCTAGGGTCAGTCCAACAGATTTAGTAATACTGTATGTGCAAAAGATTACCAATATTTACATCAAATAAACATGGTTTCATTGTGGTTAGCCGGTATATACCTAGAACATTGTTTTATGAGGCATGGTGGGGAAAGTAATCAGTCATATATAATTAGATAGTATACTGTGTTGGGGAACAATATTTCAGAATATTATATTAAGGCACTATTTCATTGTCTGTTATCATGTTGGTTCAAATGTCTGTTAGGTACTGTAATTCATTTTAGCAGTTTTTTTCTTTTAGACAAATTACAGAAGATTGATTTGACATCAAACATAATATCAGATATTGATGAAGATGCTTTTAGGAATTTGCCTCAGCTTAATGAGCTCATACTACTAGATAACAGAATAAGACAACTTCCAGAGCTGCCAGACTCTCTAAGTTACCTTGATGCCAGCAAAAACAGACTTGGACGCAAAGGAATAAAGCAGGAAGCATTCAAAGTATGTATATAAAACGCATAAGAAACTGCGAAAAACCTCTACAATTGCAAGTACAACTGCAACCAAGTTGGAAGGTGTGCTGGTGGTGCATGTTACTGGGAAGGGGCCATGAGTCGTGCATTCAGGGATAGTGATCTCTTCCAAACTTCATGTAATCATAATCAATTACATGCGGCGTGCCAGCAGACTGCCGCTTTCAAATGCGGCCGCTGTCACCTGATCATTAACTCGAACGTGTAACAGCTCCTGCTACTACACAGCATATTTGGGATTCCTGCTGCAGGAATTTGTAGGTCCATGATGCGGAAATCTCAAAATGTACCTACTATGTAGGTGTGAATGTGACCCAACTCACCTATGTTGCTGAAAACCTCAACGCAGGTTAATGCACCACTTTGTGCACTGTGGTTTGCGTTTTTTGCAAATGTGGTGCATTCCAAGTTTAAGGTCTGTTGTCATGCTTTGGCAGCCCATTCATAATATATAAATGCAAGTTAACAAGGAACTCAATGCATGGAACACATGGCAATGGAAAGCATAAGTATAAATCTGCCCTTAGCACCGGCTTTAGCTATGTGTGGCATCATCCAATGAGAGGACAACAAAAGCTTGATTTGCATATCTTTCTCAGCCTTTTTTAAAATACATTATAACACATACTGTATAGTAGGTATTGTCATGTACTACTGAGTAGTATGATTTTAAAATGATTTCTACTTGGAAGTGTTTTAGAATCCCTTTTTCTTTTAGTGCCCTCTTACTTCAGTGCTCAACGCCGACACACAGCACTGTCATGTGAGAATGAGGGCGACTCCATCACCTTGTGTAAGCTCTGACATCACCCAACATGGAGCATACACATGGCTTGAGGAGCAATAGAACAATGGAGGAGCACGGAGAAGGTGAAGATGAGTGGGTCAGGGAGAGAGGTGTCAAAAGACGTTGCCATGAATTTTGCAGCCTTCATTGCTTTAGTAAATCAACCCATGTTCCTGTAAACATACTTTTTGAAATTTGTATACCCTTAAAACAGTTCTATTTAGTGTTCTAAAATAAATTTACGTGGGTTCATTTTGGCTTAAAAAAGAGATGAATTTCTTTTTTCAGGACTTGAGCGATCTTCGTCTTTTGTACTTGAATAACAACAACTTGGACCATATTCCAATACCTCTTCCAGATAACTTGCAGGCTCTTCATCTTCAGGTAAATATGGTATCATCTGTGTGTGTGTTGGAAAGAATATATGTTATATGAGGGCTGGCCTTTTTTATAATTAGTTGTTTGTATTTGTTACAATGATCTGCCTGCAGGGCCATTTTTCCCTGAACCATTGATGACTATTATGCACAGATCCCAAAGGAGATGTGTTGTAGTTTAGTACTATTTTTTATGTAGGAAATTATAAGTGAAGGCAGAGATTTCCTATCCCAGACATTAAGGTTAAACTGTTTAAGGTTCAAATTAAGATAACACTGCGGCAGGACATGATCTACATATAGCCAACATAGGCCGTGGCCCAGGACAGCAAGACTATCAGACTATGCACACTGTTCTGCTGACAGTCAGTGCAATGTATTTTAATGTGCAACAAAATTTTCTATCTTTCCCTCTATCACTGCCAATCCCTTCTGGCTGGGTCTTTATTGTTGCTGTCCTGGGCAGTTTGGGAGGTGGCATAGTATACTGAAAAGTTAAAGTGTATGTAACCTGGGTCCAGACATCTAGACCCTAGATCAGGGGTGCCCACAGTTTTTGTGTTAAGATCAACTTTTCAAATGACGAACTACATGAGATCTACCAACGAACAAAAAACCTCCATAGCTCTCTCTCTCTTGGCTGTCTCTCTTCACTCTCTTGGCTGTCTCTCCTTGCCCTCTCCCCTTGCTGTCTCTCATCTCTCTCTTTCCTGGCTGCCTCTCCTTGCTCTCCCCTGGCTGTCTCTACTCGCTCTCTCTCCCCTGGCTGTCTTTCCTCTCACTCCTGTCTGTCTCTCCCCACTCTCTCTCCTGGCTCGCTTTGCTGTATTTTGCAAACAGTGTAGTGCAACAGGCGGTGTAAACTAATATTCTTTGATGTAATACATAGCACTTCAACCACCAGTGTCCACCAGAAAGGTGTCAGGGAGCTTGGCTCAGCAGACTCAGGCTAATAGGTAATCATGTGTGCACAGCTAAATAAATATACCAAAATGGAATAAAGGGGCCGCCATTCACACCCTTCGTGATCTACCAGCATCAGCTTCGTGAGCTACTGGTGGATCACGACCTACCTAATGGGCACCCCTGCACTAGATCATAGACGTTTTGTTTTTGTCTCTAAATCTGTTTCTTTTCTGGTTATGTCACAATGTGTCTCAGTGAACATATTTGTGGTTCTGGTTGAGTAAGTACAGTCATGGTGCCGAATACTAGTCTGTCCATTTCATATTAATTTGACCCCAGGATTTACTATATTTATCTGATTTAATTATTTGAACCCATTAAACCCAATAAAAAATGCAATATATTGTAGCTTACCAGTCCTTAGATGCGTCGTCTACATTAGTTATTATTTTTCAGGCATTTTTCCTTTATTTTCACCTGCCAGTACCACACTTCCTGTCCTAAGGTGACAATGCTCACGCATCTCACTGTATGTATGGGGGAGTAGCATTTTAAAGGTATTTTTAAAACCAATAAGGAGAAAATAAGAGAAGTTTATTGTTAGGTTTTAAATAAAATGTAAGACTTTTCATGGGTGTGGCAAACATAAATTTCTGCATGCCTGTTCAGTGCACAGACACCTAGCAGACCGGCCTTACAAAATGTGTGGGTGGCAGCATACAAAACAGTTGACTAAGAGTAAGGGAGCATGGTAAAAGACAGTTGGCCTTGAGTTGGGCAGGAATTATATATCCCTGCACTGCATTGTGATTAGAATGTCAAGAAAAGATTTACTGGGCTATTCACAAAAGGGTGAAGAGCTTGGAGAAGGCAGGAGAAGTGAACAATCTAGGGCAACATAGCTGATTTGGAAAAACAATTCCAGTTCAGCTCACTTTCCAGTTCAGCTATGTTATCCTAGATTGTTCACTTCTCCTCAGGGGCGGACTGACAACACATGGGGCCCCGGGCAATACAAGATTATGGGGCCCCTTTGTGCTCCGCCCATATACAAGTCCCTCCCACACGCCCCACCTGCATAGACATTCTTGTGTCAGAAATTTTTTCTCCACATTATTTTTCAAATAGAGGGCCAATTCACTAAGATGAATTGCCGGGGAACTGGCTGTCCATGCTTCTGGGCTGTGAGCTGTGGAAGGTTAGTGGGAGGGGCCGGACAGTGTCAAAGTCAGTGTTCTATAATTTTTCTCGATCCTATAAATTTTCTCCAATGTGTCACTTCCAGTGGGGTCGAGTCATCCGATTCAGCTGTTTTCCTGACATTCTCTCTCTCTCTCTCTCTCTGTATACCCTCTCTCTCTCCCTCTCTCCCTCCCCTCTGTATATGCTTAGTGCCTGCATTTCTCAAGCCCTACAGTGTGTGGTACTAAAACACACTCAAGGTTACCATGTATGAAACAATCACCATCATACCCAAACAACAATAGTGCGGAAGTTCTTGGAGAAAAAGCAGTGTCTGCAATGAGTAAAACAAACAGTTATCTGAGCTTTGCAGTTACAGAATTTATTTGATGATCTCATTTTATTGCAAATGACACAATCTGTATCAGTTTTGGTCCAGTGATTCTTGTGTTGATTGTGGGGCTGCATTCTTTACAATTCAAAAACACACAATCAAGAGCCAGATGTTTTAATTTTTATCTGAATGGAATTATGTCTCTTAGAATTTGATCATGAGTAAAAAAAGCAACAATGCTCTTAAAAAACAAAAAAGGAATTTTGTTAAAATGACAAAATAGTGGCCTGCAGGAGTTCAAGTTAACATAAACCCGTAAACAAGGAACGTCCCTTATTTGCTTCTTTTTGGTTTGATAAATATGGCATTAAAATGTTTTGTTATATGTGTTTGATAAGTGCAAAAAATATCTATTGATCCTACCAGAAACCTTGTGAATTGATATCTTCCTTAGCTCTCTGTCTGTACTGAGGGTTGGTTCACACTATCTGCGCTCGCTTTTTTGCGCTGGCGGTTTATTCCAGCGCAACCCGAACACAAGACAAGGCAAATTGCCTTGTCATGGATAGACTCAGTTCACACAATTGTGTTCGGGTAATGTGCACTTAAAAAAAGTATGGAATGCAGTACTTTTTTAAACGTACGACAGTGAGACACTGTACAACCGCATTGCACTGCGGTGAGCCCATAGACCTGAATAAAATGTCACTTGCGACATCTCAATAAAGTTCTACATTTTTTTTTTAAACAATGTGATGCAATTCAGCACATCGGCACTGTTCGCGGACATGCACACCAGCAGCCATGCAGTTGAGTGCAGCTGCTTGTGTTAACATACCCTTAATGTTATCAGTTACTGAGGGCTACGGAACACCTTCGCCTATGTTATAGAAAAAAAGAGAGGGGGAGGTCTTCTGCATTCCTAACAAACTTTCTGTCCAAGAGGAACAACACAGCGTTTACACAGTACAGTGAATAAGGGTTGTCACCCTAATAAAGGAATTGCGTTACTGACAGAATTACCAGGTAAAAATAAAGTAGTAAAAGCCTGAGAAAAAAAAACGAATATAGCCGCCATATCTATGCCCTGGTAAGCTACTATTTATATATTTTAATATAATATTTTTATTTGTGGCTTTAGCTATGTTTTAGGTAATAATGCCTATGGGTTTTTGATTCAGAAGAGATGTAAGGATTGACTGAGGAATGTTTATGGGCCACAGTGAACTTTTCGGCATTATTAAAACTAGCCAAGTTCCCACAACACACTTGCCTCTCTGGTAAATGCTCCCAAGATTTGCAGCCTGGATCTACGGGAGCTAGATGTTTAAAAAATGATATTGCTTAATGATTTATTGAATTACTTGAAGAATACTTATGAGCATCATTTTGGTTTTAGGACAACAACATTCAGGAAATGCATGAAGACACTTTCTGCAACATGAAAGATTTTTCATACGCTCGAAGGTCCCTTGAAGATATTCGACTTGATGGCAATCCCATTAACCTGAGTAAAACGCCACAGGCTTTCATGTGTCTACCTCGTATACCAGTTGGCAGACTTGTCTAAGCCAAAAGACCAGAAACTACATTAGAAAAACAGAAAAAATCATTTACCTGGCTTTTTAATGCATAACACTTTGCCATTCCAAATGAGTACTGTGTATGTGATACTTCAATCAATACTTTTTTTTCATAAATAAAATGCCAAATGAATTTAGTTAGTCAATTAAATGTACTGAAACCTGGAAAATACTATTAACAAAATGTACATAAAGTACCTTCTCATAATTAATTAGCATTTACTGGAGTTAAGTATGCTGTGACCTTGTTTTTGTGATTTGTTTTGTTGTTGTTTGCTACCTACTAGCTCCTGGCTAACCTGTCTCATCACGGAGTAAATGTGAAGTGTGGTACACCTAAAACAGAGATGTACATAAAGGTTATTTGTTATTTTATTTTACCCTGAAAGCTTCTGTGTCTTAATATAAGTACCATTCTCCTAAAATTATACTTTTTACTAAAAATCCTTTATTATGTGTATAGTACAGTAGTTATTCCAGTCTAGCATGGTCAATAAGAATGTAGTGTAGTTTTGCTGCCATCTTCTGGTCATTTTTCATATATACACGCAAATCACCAAATATTTTCTATTGTTTGCGAATATAGTAATTATGTATAAACTTCAATAAACTTATGCATTGTTACACAGTAATTCACCACAGGATGGAGAAACCTAAGCAGCAATAAAAAAAAAGGCTGAGCCTTAAAATGTAAATGTTTGTAACATCTATGGTCGATGATGATGAAGAATGTGAAACCCAATATTGTTTTTGTTTTATATATGTATTCACAAATATAGGAGGAGGTCATTGTTTTTGCTTGGCGTGCACTTGCATTTCGAAACAGTGATACGGCATGGAATAAATGTACTAAATGAACAAAGATGCAGTGCGTGTACAAAAGAACACAATACCACTAAACATCTTTGGATTGCTTTGGGGTCTGTCATCCAGCTAAATTTTCTGAGATGTCTTAAAAGCAAGCCGTCATATACAAAGTGCAAGGCTGCATAAAAGTTCAATAAAATAATAATAATAATAATAATAATAATGATTATTATTATTATAATGCATAATACATAATAGCTCACTGCCCCAGCAGCCTTGGTATCTGGCAATGACAGCTCCTATCCAAGGCTTTTTAGACAGGTATTTAGCCTATTAACAGATCCCCACAAAAATAAACCTCCATGCAAATAAATATTGTCAAATGCTTAAAGTGACATTAGACCCTCAGATTTTTTAACATAAACCAATACTGTAATGTGTGCCTTACTGTAATCCATGGTAGTTTCCCTTCTCTTTGCTGCTCTTCCTTTTAAATCCTCATGTCTTCTCATGCTTGGGGAGAACTTCCCTTTGCAGCTGTAGTGCTGGCTCAGGTTGCAAACCTACACACAGACACCATGTAGCCATTCCAGAGACAAGGCAGTCTGCTGCAAAACAGTTCTGCTCAGCATGAGAAGAGATAAAGATTTAAAAGGAAGAGCAGCAAAGAGAAGGAAAACTACCATGGATTACAGTAAGGCACACATTACAGTATTGTTTTATGTAAAAAATCTGAGGGTTTAATGTCACTTTAAGCCATTTAATAAATTATTTCAAAGACATTATTTTCAAAGACTTATATCCCACAATCTTTAGCACACTAGAAATCAGGTTGAGAGTGGGTCAGCAGGCACTGTGAGCCAGGCACTTTTGTATCTGACAGTGCTATTACTGTAGCATTATTTAGGCACTGTGGAAAAAGTGTTCAGGTGGGTTTACAGGAAGGGACATGGACATCACCAGTGTGGTGATGCTTATTCATAGTGCAATGAGAATGTTAGAGGTTGGATGCTGCCACAAGCTGCAGAACTGTAAATTTTGAACAGTGATGTTATATGTCAGCTATATAATGTGGCAGGGTTATGTGAATCCCAATCCTACTTTGGCAGGTAAAACAACTCATATATATTATGAAGGGAATTTATAAAAACGGGAGCAGACAAAATCTGGAGCAGCTGTGCATGGCAACCGATCAACTTCTCTGTCTCATTTCAAATCTTAACTGAACAAACTGAAGAGAGAAGCTGATTGATTGCCATGGGCAACTGCTCCAGATTTTGTCTGCTCCAGTGTTGATAAATTCTCCCCTATGTGTTTAGAAGCTCGGCATGTTCAGCTGGATAACATATAGGACTGTTTCATTTTTTTTTTTAAAAGGGAGGAAAGTTTGCTTGTAGCCTCATTTTAGGGTTAGCTTAATGTTTAGCTGTTTGGCTGGAGTTCTGCTTTAATTATTATAATATATCATGTGCAATATTAATTTGCCCTGAAGGAAAGTGGAGTGTATAAGTTGCAGCAAAATCATTGAACTTCAAGGGGGTTATTCACTTAGCTGCCGATGGCAGCCGAGTGACTAACCGACCCGAAGGGAAGTAAGCCAAACGCTGTTCAGCTATTAAGTTCCGCTTTGCACGGCTGATTTCAGCCGTAAATCGGCTAAAATCAGCCGTACATCAACTGCCTTCGGCTGAGCTGAAGTGTAGAAGAAGTTCGACTCAGCCGATCCAACATCTGGATCGGCTGAGCCAAACTCTGGCAGCTCACTCGCTCCCGTTCGCCCCTATTCGCCCTATTGTGCGTGGTACCTCTGAGGTAGCGAGCAGAATAGAAAAAAGTGAAGTGAAAAAAATTATGTATAAAATGTAAACAAATTGGAAAATTTAAAACATTTAAAGAAAAGGAAAAAATATTTATAAAAATGATGCACGCTGACCCGACCGCACGCACTGCATAAATAAACAGATGCCGGCAAAATAAAAACAATTGGGAGGAGCTAGCAGTGACATCACCGCTAGCTCTGCCCAACTGTTTCCTATTGGCCGGCACCTGCCAGAGTCTTCTAGCAGAGTTACGACACGGCCGGCGCTGCCCAGTTATTATTGTTTAATGACATATCAGCGTCCCCAGGTCATTTGGGGACGCTGATCTTTCATTACAACTGGGCGGAGCGAGCCGTAAAATCATGACTGGTTCCGCCCAGCTGTCATTTGCATGGAGATCGGTGGGCTTTGGCCGAACTTTCTCCACACCTTGCCTGTCACTACGGCTCAGCCAAGACGAAGCTTATGCGTTTGGCTCGGCTGAGCCGCTCAGCTGCCTTCGGCTGCTGTATGGGCTATAGTGTATAGCCGAAGGGCTCAGGCGGCCAAAGTGATCCAAAGTGAATAACCCCCCAAATTTAGCATAGAAACATCGAGACGTGGAAGCAGTAAAAACATAGGTATTTGAGACACCAAATTTTATGAGAGCAAACAAGATTCCCTTGTTATTTACTTACTTTTCCAAGTAAATAAGGTTCAGTGTTTTAGCCAGAAAAAAACTCCACTCTCCATCAGTAAAAGATTTTAAATGAATTTTACATAGAGCATTGTACAGTGGGTGGAATATGAAAATATTGATGGACTAACTGACCAATCTGCTTCCAGATCTGCTTGGCTTTATCTTGGTAAGTCAAACATCTCTTGTTACAAACAAAAGGAATTTGTTAAGTACCAGTTTGAATGTTTTTTTGGTTTTTGACATCCTGTTATACCGGTATGTGGTGTTGATGTGAATAGTGGCATCTTTGACTTTTTAATGAAATGTTGCCTTTATGGAATGTGTGGAATTAATATTTGGAGTTACAATAAAAACAAAAGTTTAAATGATTCCCTTCCCTATTTGAGGTTGTTAAAATCAAAATCAAGGAAAGCCATTGGGAACCAAGCTGTGGTGTCAAGTACTGCATTTGCAATGGGACCTCTCATTACATGTGAAAGGTTTTACGCTCTTGAATATTTTCTTTGTGATGTTAACACCCAATTCAGAAAGCCTTTTCACTCCTCACTGGCTTCTGCTTCTATATACAAGTAGTGTGACCAGCGAGCTTTGATAATGCAGAGTTGTTGGCAAATGTTGTTGAATAGCTTCAATTTGGGAATATTAAACACAGATTCTAATGGGAGTGCTAAGTGTCACTTTAAACAAGTTGCTAGAAGACTTTAGTAAGCTTCAGCACTTCCCGAAGTTTGTTGAAAGCCTGATGAATAACAAAGATATACTCACCCAAACTTCCACCCTGCCTGGCTGCTAGACCGGTCCCTACAGCCTCCCTCTCCCTACGATTGAACCTTGGTCTTTGCAAACAGAGAGCATAGGCTGCCCCTAGCTCACCCAAAACAGATTAGTAAGCATATCCCACTGCACACTGGGTGCTGCAGTAAGTTACAAGCACACCTTCATCTTCTTCATCAAGATCGCCTTTACTGAAGTTATTTGATCACAGTATGACCAAAAAAAGCTTTATTTGGTCGTACCGTGATCAATTAACATTGATAAAGGAGTTCTGGATGAAGACAATGACTGGTAAGTTATTTTTTACTAGCTCACTCATAAGACTACAGCTGGGAAATAAAGGGTGCCCTGACCACTTTTTACAGTCCATCTCTAGACTTATTTGGATAGAGTGGGGAAGGGTTAGAATGTTTATTGAGTTTTTATTAATGTCTATGTCCCTGTGAAATCCAAGATTTAGGCCTGCAGTTTTAAGTGCGGGGAATGAGGATAAATTCCCCCCTATGTGTTTAGAAGCTTGGCATGTTCAGCTGGATAACATATAGGACTGTTTCATTTTTTTTTTTAAAAGGGAGGAAAGTTTGCTTGTAGCCTCATTTTAGGGTTAGCTTAATGTTTAGCTGTTTGGCTGGAGTTCTGCTTTAATTATTATAATATATCATGTGCAATATTAATTTGCCCTGAAGGAAAGTGGAGTGTATAAGTTGCAGCAAAATCATTGAACTTCAAGGGGGTTATTCACTTAGCTGCCGATGGCAGCCGAGTGACTAACCGACCCGAAGGGAAGTAAGCCAAACGCTGTTCAGCTATTAAGTTCCGCTTTGCACGGCTGATTTCAGCCGTAAATCGGCTAAAATCAGGTCCCGGGCTCCAGGGTGAGCCCGGGACCAGCATACTGCCTCTACCT